CTTTTGTGACACGACATCGTTCCCTGTGTAAGGATATACTGGTAAGAACAGCGTTGATTTCTTTCGTGTTTTCTCCTCAAAGCGGGCTAAAAACGCATAGAATGCCTTGCTTATCCTTCATTTCTTTATTTGAAAGGAATTGACTCTGAAGAATGGATCAAATCACCAACGCTCTCGAACCATGCAAACAGTTCGCCAAAGACTCAATGAGACTTGTAAAAAGATGCACGAAACCAGACAGAAAAGGTTTTGCTTTTGTTCATGTTTAATTTATTCTCTGTATTATTCTGTTTTTTTTTTTCCTTCAACTTCTTAGCTATTTTATCAGAAGTGTTCGTAACAAGTTTTGGGTCGCTTCTTTACGAGATTTCAAGGAGAAATTAAAATTTTGTAAACAGCGTTTACTGTACGTCGTCTCTCTCGAAGGTTTCGGTTTATCTTTTTGCTTCGACAATTCGTTTACTACTTCTTACGTTGAATCATAGTCGTGTCTATTACATACGTCCTCTTCTGATTCCCTGTTCAGATTTAATTCATAGCGTATTAAACTTCTTTTAATTAGCATGTGATATATAATTGTTTAACTTTGGAAAATATTTTTGGACTGGTACAAAAATCTATAATTTGGAAAACACGTTTTGTGTGTTTTATACATTTAGCGTGTAGTTCTAAATTGAAAATCGTTCTTGATCGATTTGCTGGCTTATGAAGTCTTTCTGCGTGAAAACAATGTGATTGTCTTTCATGGCCTCGTCACTTTGGACCACAAAGAACCTTTTAGTTGGAGAAAGGTATAGTTGGCTATTCACAAAAGTCCAATGCATGATTCGAAGCACAAGAAATCTCAACAGGAAACTGGAATATGTAGATTTAAATCTTGACGAGATTTTACTGAGGATAACAGGCTAGGAAAGATAATAGAACAAACTAGGAATGTGCACATTTTTATATCTCCTATATTTAATGAAGGTTTAAAAGAAACTTTATATTCAGGGTTACTGATTAAGTTTTGAAGAATTTTACTCTTTACCAAAGGAGGCCTTCTGGGTAACACTTAGTGTCAACGTTTTGTTTGTTTGAATGAGTTAGGTGGTCAGGTAAGCCCCACGAAGGTATGAGCAAAGTTCAGTGGCTGCTAGCTGTTTGAGAGAACAGAAACCTTTGTTTCCAACTCTATTTCTCATTCTTTGTCTATTTCAACTTCTGGTGAAAATCATGCCACAAGTAGAAGTATCTGTTTTGAATTATAACCTTGCTCTGGAGAACTTCTGAAAAGAAATCATGGATGGTTGTCTTGAGTCTTAAACTGATGTTTTATTCATTAAACTGATGATTTATCCATTAAACTGATGATTTATTCATTAAACTGATGAATTATTCATTCACTCTGATGAAGGGCTAATGCTCGAAACGTCAGCTTTTTTTTTTTTGGTTACGGTGGCCAATTTACAGTTTCAACTTAGTTGATATAACCAAATTATGATGATTTAATTTTACTCTTCCAGTGCTGAACACTAACTTTTCAACTCACTAGCAAAGTGGCTGGTTAGATCTTAGATGTTACAACAATTTCAGTTTGTTTACTAGCCAAATTGGCTAGTGGAAATCAAAAACCACTAGCCAAAACTGAATTTCTACTAGTCTGTGGCTAGTGGGCTATCGTTAGTGTTGAGCCCTGTCTCCCAAGTAACAAGCAAATGTCAGTTGCCAAAATGTGTTGTCAGAACCTTTTGAAAAATCACTGTAAAGTTGATGTAGAAAATTACTTACAGGGAAGACTGTGCTTTAACATTGCCATTCTTCATTGCAGTCATCTGTAAATCACTTTATGTGCCATATTCAGGCTGTAGGTATTGTGTATAACAACATTAGATGTTACAAAACACAAAAGCAGTGAAATGACTCTATTGCAAGACTAAGTATCAATTTCCCACAAATAACGTAGCTCCATTTTCTCCCTTTAAAAGCACACACAACCCACAATTCCTCTATTCGCTCCGACGAAGGGCTAACGCTCGAGACGTCAGCTTTTGTAATCATTACGGTGGCCAATTTACCATTTCAACTTTGTTGATATATCCAAATTGTTAAGTATCAATTAATTTTGCAAGTTATCAAATCTTTAATCTTAATAAAAAAAAATCTACTACTGGCAGGGCCTCCAATCATTATGCTTGCACGATATTTAGTACAACTGATCTCAAATTGTTTGCTGTGTCAAAATTGGGCCTCCAAATTCAGTGTCAAATGTACTTGGCAAGAATTGAATGGTTTGTTCCATGACAGCAACAGTTCATTTCTTTATCAAAATAGCGAATTAAATAAATGTTTTGTGTGGTTCCATTTTGCAGAATTCCAGAAAATTGCCCTGGCAACTGCCATTGGTTTTGCCATCATGGGATTCATTGGTTTCTTCGTTAAACTCATACACATCCCCATCAATAACATCATTGTGCAGTAGTTATTTATTCATGGTAAGTATGGTGATAGTTCACCTATTAATTAATTTTTTTTTATTTGAGCCTCTTGAGGAATGCTTGGTGGTGAAGATGGCATAGGTTTTAACCTTGCTTCACAAATTGTACCCTACCTTCATAAGCTTGTACACAGGGTATAAATGTATGCATCGATCAGTAAAAAGACTCAAGTGGAACATGAATTTACAACCGAACTACTATCTTGGACTTGGCACATTCTCAAATAATTGCACCACAGGTAGCCCAAGCTCAGAGAGCAAACCTCCATGATTATACAAATACATTCACATTGCACAGGTAGCCAAGTGTACTGTGTGTGATTTTGGGGTCTAAAGATCGTTAATGGCAATACCTAACATATTAAGAGTGAATTTTACATGTAAGCCTGCGCCATAAAAAAGGAAGAATTATGAGGAATGTAATGTGGTTATTCTCCTCGCCTTTATTTGGTAGCTGCTTTGTTGCTCACAGTCATTTTGTGCCATGTGTTGTTCTACTACATGTATATCACACAGAGACTATCACCTTATCACCCCTGAGTCAAACATTAAGGTCAGGAGTGTAAAGAAAATGATCACAAACCCAAGATGCTCTTAATTGTTAAACAAAATATTCTTCTCAGCAGCTTGGGAAATACTTGAAGAACAGTGTGTGGAGAAAGTACATACTGATGCCAAGGTGTAAAGGGTCAAGGAGCTACATCCAGATTAAAGTTAACTCAGAGCTTGAAATCTATCCCTTTCTTTTCTTAGAACTGATGGAAAATGGAAAATTGCTGTGCTCATTTTGTGGACACTGCATCATTGCTTTTTTTTTTCAAGTTTTAACACAATTTTTCCCAATATTTTTTCAGATACTCAAGTCAAGACAATATATATCAACATGTACCAGCAAATAAGAGTTGTGCTGAAGAAACCATATTAAATTTCATAGGCCTGATTCCTTTTTCTGAGTTGTATTTGTAATTTTTCAGTTCTCGTTTACAACAATAAAAGGTCATAGTTGTCTCAGAAAAGCTTTTTAAATTTCATGTAACTTGAGAAAAATGTACTTTATATTGAGTCAGTAATAAAAGTACACAGCTGCATTTTTTTGAAGTGTCTTGTTATAAAGCAATGAATAACTTTTTCTGTGTTTACATGGCCTCATCTAAACACTAGGGGGATTGCAGAAATTCGAGACGTCTTTGCAAACCTAAAATGCAGTCGAGAGTTTGCAAAGCTATCAATAATTCCCCTAACCCTTAGAGTGTTAAGATGAGTCAGGTACACGCTTTACCCTCTCAAATTCTAGATAATAACATTTCATCATGACAAGTCTCCAAACGACTGAAACAATTTTACGGTTACTGTACTATCTCCAGTGATACCCTAGACTCTGTGGAGGAGAAAGGAAACAATAAATGTTGAGAAGGGATCGAGAGGGCAACAAAACATGAAATTAACGAAAGAACTAGACAATTTGAAGATTGTACGATGAATAGATGATATAGACTGGAGAAGGAGCCGCTGCTCGGAATATGAGCCGTGTTTCTACTCTAAGCAGCAATGGAGTCAACTGGAATAGTGAGTGAGAACTTTATTTTAGCACGATAAGTAAAATCAGCATTGCTGGTGGGTCGTGTAAACAATAGTTACGAAAAAATAAAATACTTAAATATATGTACAATTTAGAATTAAGACTTAAAAGCTAAGACCTATATAGCAGCGGAACCAATTAAAATTAAGGAAAAGAGCAAACAGTAGGGAAAATAAGAACGAAAGAAACATTCTTATATATTAAAGTAAGATTATCTATGAGTAAAATAAAGTTCCAATCACTGCGGTAAATTTCAAGAGCACCGGAACCTTCTGGGATCACGTAATTTACAACGACTATTTTTGCAATGAATAAGTTATTCAAAAAAACTCCTCAGGAAGCTCCTGGATTGTCACGCCAAATCTCAGACTACAATTACTAATTTTATGTGTTTTTCCTCGCAAATACCTCATCTTGGCCTTTATCCCGTTAAGTATTTTGTTTCCTCGTACCCATTGTTATTAAAATGGAACAATCAGAAAAAAAATACCACACGAGGGGCAAACAACCTTATACTTATTTGGGGGAATGTAGCTCCACAGTAGGGTCCTGTGAGAGATACGCTGTTGTGAATGATCATTCTTCAGAAGAGCGCGGAGAAACCCGATTGGCGAATCACATGACCCTTGATCACATTTCGCATAAAAGCTTTTTGTCTAAATTACCACATTCAGGATCAAAATCCTTAGTGGTAGTGTATCAGATTTATTACCTCGTATATTTTAAACTATTACAGTCTACAGCTCTTGTGAGCGGTACTGAGAAACGTTCGATCTTACTTTAAACAGGCTTTTCCCTTCTGCTGTGCATACCTTTTGTGCGGAAAACCGGGAAATAAACTATCGTTAGAGGGTTGCGTTACGCAGTGTTATTTGACACTGTGGGTGTCTGTCACTTTACAGACGACAAGCATGCTATTTCACAGAAACATAATACAAAACTTTATTGATCGCTGTGGCTGGGGTGTGATACCCTAGATAGCAGGGTAGTACGGCATTACCTTACTGTCTAGCACGCACAAGACTAGGGACTGTTCATTGAACCTTCATGCTTCAGCCCTGTTAGGCTACTTGGGTTGAAAAGATGGGGTTCTCTACCTCTAAAGTAGCAGTTTCTCTTTTGTTTGTCCTATGGATTTGCAGTACGCAGGGGCAGGATAGTAAGTATCATGTTAAGACCTCGATGTGCTTTTGCGCTCAACTTTCCTTCCTTTGGTCACGGACGAGCTACGAACAGGCAATTCCCCTTCTACTAGACGCTTAATTTGCAATTCAATCAGCTCCTTTTTCAGTGGACATTTGGAAAGCCTTTATCTCACCCTTTGCGAATTATTTTGTCTTTTGTTTGGATTTTTGCTCGGCCTGTTCATCCGACCGACCATGATTAGGATGAAAGCTTTATTGTATTCAGCTGTATGCGGGCTTTGTGCATTTCATGGTTTTTTTCGTTATGAGATTTCGCGCCTCAAAGTCGCTTGAACAATCGACTATGCTGTAGATGAAAAGTTAAAAAAGATTTCTTATGGACCCAAATGTTTTCCTGTTCGTTCTCAGAGGTGAAATTTTCATGTGAATGCATTTGGATCAATCGAGGTGTTGTGTGATATCCCTCCGTCTTGATATCTTGCGCAGGATAAAAGCCCAGCGCGTCTACCGTTTTTCAGCAGAAGTACGCTATTTAATGTAAATAATTCTTCAACTTGGCAGTGAAATTGTATTTATTTACATACATTTGTGAAGTTAAGGCATTCGCATGCTCAGATCGACATGGAAAACCTGAACAGCGCAATTTTTGTGATATCGTGTTACGATTTTGCATACCAGCGAGTGCGGACAATCGGCCATTCAATATTTCTCAAATGGCCGCTTTATTTTGTGATAAATTATTCTCGTGTGGAAAAAGAAAAAACATCATCACAGAAATTGTCTTTTACACCCTCCCATTGTCAACTGACGTTACCTAAATTATTTGAAATCTCTGAAAAATAGATGTTCAAGGTTCACCAAGCAAAGATTAAACCTCCAAGGCTTGCTTCATAACTCGCGCGCGACGTGTTCTTCACGAATATGTAAAAAAAAAAAGACCTGTTTGCTGAAAGAAAGTTCTTATTTACCACAGAGAATAGATACAGCGTACAAAGTTAAAAATAATTGAGTCAGAATTTCTACATAAAATAGAATAACTTCTGGATGGAGGGCTAGAATCTCTATTCCACTTAGATATTTATTTATACTTATAACGGAATAAGTGAAATGGAGAAATACAGTGATAAATAAAATGTAGAAAGATTCATCATTTCTGTGATCTTAACACCTCAATGAAACAATTGTTGTTTCGTTTAAAACTCGATATAAAGTCTTGATGATTTGACGAGTTAAGCAGAATGTTTCAGGGTCATCGCGTTTTGAATAAGTTCATGTTATCTGGGTGAGAAGGAATTTTTATTCTGAATCTTAAATTTTGAAATACTGTTCTACATCATAGGTCGTAGAGCATATAGTTACTTGTCACTTGGTAAGGGTCCCAGAGTTGCGTCATTATTGACCTAACGTCATTGCGAGGCTTTAAAAAAGTAACTTGGCGGCCGCGCGGCTGAATACAAACCTCGACTCAATTTGCTCTGAGTAGATTTCGAAACACAGCGGTAGTCATACATTCAATAATATGTTATTCTTACTAATGATTTTTTATGTCTTACTGCAAACGGCGATACATGTCCATTTATCAAGTGGCTTTGAAGTAGATAAATTTATTAAGATCAAGCAAGAGATGCTAACTTTCAATTTCTTTTTTTCGTTTCAGTTCCAACAGAGATAGACATTTCATTAAAAGGTGAACCAGGAGAAAAAGGAAGCAAAGGAAGAGCGGTAAACATGAAATTGATATTAAAGTTAATATGTGCTTTGTCATTGAGAAGGTTAAAACTTTGAAAGCGCTGAATGTGTATCATATTTGAAACGATAGAATTCTTGGGATTCTCTAAAAGAGCTCCTATGTATTTTGGGGAAATTTTTTTACTACGTTGTTTCAGTTTTTGATAACCCCAGAAACAATCTTCACCCCTAGTGCACAACCTTAAAGCACGTGCTTTTGCAAAACCTTGCATCCCTGTCATGCATAAAACTAAAACTGTAATTCTATACAAGTTTGAATAGCTGTATGTTCATTTTTTAATTATCTGTCTAGTTCGTTGTTTATTTCTTAATTATTTACGTGATTGAACAATGGTAAGAAAAAAAAAAAAAAAAAAAACTTTTCCGATAGTTAAAATTAAAACGTTCATGAATGAAGAAGTACTGTATACTCTGTGCAGTTTCTCAAAAAGTTTACCGAGAGAAGACAAATTTTACTTCGAAATTAAACACCATGTTAACCCCTTTAGGTTCCCAAGATCTGATTTTTAATATCTCCTCTAGTTGCTACACGTCCATGTAAATTAGTTACTAGAATATGGTAATAGATCAAGAAAAGAACCTCTACTTGATAAGTTTGTGTATTCTCATTACCTGTGAGCCAGATTATGCAGGGAATATCAAAGGGAGATTTATACAAGCTTAATTATAGCTAAATT